AACATTCTCATGTCCTTTCATGGTAATCTCATGAGTCATAAGGGAACCCATAAGCTCATCCAATCCAAGTGTGAAGAGATTTTTGGCTTCTATAATGGCGGTGACTTTTACTTCCTAATTCTTTGGTAGACACCTAAGAATTTTTCTTACCAACTCACTGTTAGTATAAATTTTGCTAAGAAATTTCAAAGAGTTTACAATTTCAGTAAATCTAGTAAACATACTTGAAATAGATTCATCAGAGTTCATTTTAAATAATTCATAACTATGAACAAGCATATCAATACAAGATTCCTTCACTTGGTTTGTACCTTCATACGTTACCTCAAGTTTGTCCCAAATTTCTTTTGCCGAATCACAACTTGAAATTCTATTATACTCTTTAGAGTCTAATCCACAAACAATGGTGAGTTTGGCTTTAGCATTGGCTTGCAATAATTTATGATCTCTCTCATCACATTCATCTTCAGTTTTAGGTACACTAATATTGTCTACTAATTTGGTAGGAATTTTTGGACCTTTGGTGACAATAATTCACATTGCATAATCAGTGGCTTGTAGGTATAGGGTCATCTTATCCTTCTAATGACTATAGTTGTTTCCGTCAAACAATGGTGGCCTATTTGTGGCTTGTCCTTCAGCTAAGGTTGCCATGAATCGAAATTCCTAGATGGTTAAATCTAAAATAAGAGTCTAGGCTCTGATACCAGTTATTACCCAAAAGAAAACCTAAGATGGGGGGTGAATTAGGTTTTTACAATTAAAATTAATAATACTCTAATAAAAATTATGACTAACACAATAGATAAATATAATTAATAAAATAAAAATAATTAAAACAAGTGTCTTAACAACTATGTCAGTTAATGATTTTAGCACAGTAAAAATATGAAATATAGTTATGGCAATTTAAAATAAAATAAAGAGATAAGGGAAAGAGAGACAAACAAATTTATAGTGGTTCGGCTTCAACTCGGCCTACATCCACTCTTCAAGCTTCACTTGAGATTTTCCACTATCTTCTAGTTTCACAGGGGTGCTAGCAACCTTTTTACAAATGGAGCAATCCTCCACAGATTTTACATAGACTTCACAAGTCCAAACCCTTGCAAATCTTAGGTGATTCACAATCACTCTCAAGATTTCAAGAATACAGTGTTTGCAACACTTTTACAAGATGAAATGGTATTTTTGCTTTCAAAGAAAACTTACAACAAATATCTCTCAAAGATAGATATATAAAATGAAGTTTTGATTTTTCTATAAATCTCACACAGGAAAGATGGGCTTAAAGTTATAAGGCTCAATGTATAATTTCGAAGAATAGATGTAAGTGATTATAGATCAAAGAATATTTTCAGATTTTTTGTAACTTGTTTACATTAGAGGCTTTAGTATATATAATGAAAATTATAGCTGTTGCATTCATTTGAATTTATAACTGTTTATAGTCGTTGTAGTCATTTGAATTTATAGTCGTTGTACTTATAGTCGTTTATTGCCGTTGTACTTCCATCATTACGAATATCTTCCACTCTATCATTACAAATTTGAATATCTTCCACTTGAACATTTTGGCATTTTGAACCTTTATAACCGTTTATAGTTGTTGTACTTTCATCATTACTAATTTGAATATCTTTCACTTGAACCTTTTGGCCTGCTGCTGTGCTAGGCTGTTTGAACCTTTGATTTGGGTTATTTGAACTCCTGATTTAATCAAATATTAAATACATTCTAACAACATTTAGGATAAAGGTTTAGGTGAGAAATAATGAGACAAAATAAATTTTGATTCTATTTTTCTCTTTCAAATAAATCATCAAAATAAATTTTAATTCTATTTTTCTCTTCCAAATAAATCATCAAAATAAATTTTGATTAAAATATAATTAAATAAATGATCAAAATAAATTTTGGATTCTATTTTTTTCTTTCAAATAAATTAAAATATAATTAAATAAATCATCAAAATAAATAAGTCTAACACTTATGATTTTTTTTGTAATTTCTCTAAATTAATAATTTCATAAGGCCTCATTTTTTTAAGTAATTTTTGCCAAACTACATTCCAAATTATTGTTTTGCTCACATATTCAACAATCTAAATAAGAATGTTCAAATTAGGTCCTTTGGTTTAACAGTTGTATAGTGTGCACCACTTTATAGTATAAAATTGTGAATTCAAATCTTATATAGAAGAATTTTGGTATCATTTTTTTTTTCCGATGCAATACATATTTGATTTTGGTATGAGAATGCTTTTTCTTATTAATTTGTAGAGCTAACTGCTACATGCGTCATCAGGGGTATGCACGATACGGGTCGGTGCAGTTTAGGAGTAAAATAAAAACCATATGGCGGGTGAAGGATTACTAAAAGTGTCATTAGAAATTGTTATTTTTCTTATCAAAAATCGGTGATTCGGTTGGCAAATAATGATGATTTCGACTTGGTGGTTTGGGTGAATTGGAGGTTCATAAAAAAAAACATAATTTAAATTACAAAATTTGAATCAAAAAGTAAAAAGATCTAATTTATAAATTAACTAAAATAGTCAAAATTAAAATAGATATTCAGTCATCTAATCTAACATTAAATATTGACAAACTAGTAAACTAAAAATCCAACAATCCAAACAAATTATACAATAACAATTTAACGAGGCAATAAATACTAAAAAAAAAATATTATGCATAACTTGTATTTCCTTCGTCCATTATCTATTACAAAATACAAATCTTTTATAAATTAATTTTCAACAATACTATGCACTCAGAAAGACAAAATCAAAGAACCACCCAAGAGAGCTCTTAATGTAAATACATGACCAGAGGGTTTAAATTCTACAGACTCGAATCGAAAACCACAAAATCACTCAAACCCATAATGACAAGGCTGTGAAACGAAGAAATGGGAATGACCCAGATCGCAAAAACCACATATAACACAAAACCCACAAAGGGTAGTGATTATGAAAGCAACATTGGTGTGAAATGTGAAATTCCGAGCCATGAAAACCCTAGACATTGATCCAAAGAAGCTGAAGAAGGGTTCATGGTTAAAAATGGAGTCCGAAAATCAGTCTTACATATATATATACTCTACACAGAGCACAAAGAGAGACACTACAAATAAACCTATCGATGCATCGGGAGATAAAGAGAGAGCTACATACCAACGGCGGCGAGTGGAGACTAGCGGCGACGAGCAAAGAGCACCAGCGGCGAGTGGAGAACCAGCGTCGAAAAGCCTAACGACAGTAACAACAAGGCTAGTGGTGCCGATCGGCAAGGTAAGGAAGAAGAGCAACAGGGAAGACGAAGCAGATGTATGAAATGAGATGTTTTCGGGTGTGAATTAGGGCTGTTTGAGAATTGATTGTGTGTGTGCACGCAGGCGCAAGTGTGTGTACATTTACATAAATTTAATCCAATGATTGAAATGTAACCTAGATATATATATATATATAGATATATGTATATATTGTATGAAATTAGTGACGGGTTGGGTCACTTGATTTGGCGAGTTGACTTTATAAATCACAATCTGCACCGACTCATCTTTCTTGACCCCTAATCCGTCCAACCCACTCGCTAGAAGTGAAAAAATATGCAATTTGGCGTGTTTCCGTACTATTTTTGTATCAGGATCCTCTACAGTGGAGCCTTGAAGTTATCTCCTAAAATAAAAGAATTTAACGATTGAAAATAAAATTAACCAAAACGACGTCGTTTTGGTTAGTAATTTGAAGACAAAAAAATCAGCTTTAATTCAAAATTCCCTCAATATACTTGCAGGTATAGTAGAAGGAGAAGGCGGGAGTGCGAGAGAGAGAGAGAAAAGAGGCGGGAGTGCCGTTGTCCAGCCGTTGCCGCTGTCGCCGTCGTCCTGCCTCCGCTGAGCCCCTGCTCTAGCCGATTGAAGAAAAAATATAGGTATTTACAGTCATCTTCTAAACAAAATACAATAGCTTGTTTGGACCATCATCTTCTATTACAATAGCTTGTTCTTCATATACTACATGTGGATATTTTTCATTTAAAGAATCCTGCTACTGAAGAACAATATATATGTTTGTTCATTGAAGAATATGCATTGCATTCTAAACAAAATACTTAGGACGTTCACTGTTACGTTTTTTTTTATTATTATTATTATTTTACAGTGAGATACCTAATTTTATATTTTGTTTGTGAACAATGCACAATGTTGTAATGTTGTTTCTGAATTCAGAGATTCCTTTTTTTTACTATTATTTTATTTATTTATTTATAGTGAGATGCCTAATTTTTTATTTTGTTAATGCTATTGCCGATTGGGTTTTGGTTGTTGTTAATTTCTGTTTTTGTTTGCTTTTTTTATTTTGTTTATTTTTGTTGTTTAATTTTGATTTTGTATGCTCACATGTTGATTATAAGAAAATTAAGGGATTTGGGTTAAATCTGGATCATTGCAAGCATAATTTACTATTGAACGGATTTGTTCCCATTTGTTTATATAATCTAATATGAGTCAATTCTTGTAGTGTTTTTATTCAGTTGTATTATTTTGCAAACATAATTTACAGTTTTTATGCTAATATAGAGCACTTTTTTATTTTTTAAGTGACTTGGCACATTGATATGAAACCTAACAATGTTGAGAATGACGGGGGTGATTGTGATTGGAAGCCTAGAGTTCACATAATATTTGATATATAACAAGAAGCATATAATTTCTATAATGCTTATGGAGGAAGGCTGAGCTTTAGTATTAGAAGGGGTTATGTAAACAAGAGCAAGGAGGGGAAAATCACTTCAAGGCTATTTGTTTGTAATAAGGAGGGATTTCGGGTTTTCGACAAGTGAGATCCATTAATAGAAAATCCTAAGCAGTAAGTGAGGACTGGTTATCAAGTCTGACTTATCATTAAGTGGGATAGGAATGTTCAGAAATTTTTTGTTGGTGATTTTGTTGAACAACATAATCATACCTTTGTACCAGCAGAATGTACGCATATGTTACCATCCCAAAGGAAGATATATGCATCACAGGCAACCGAAATAGGTTTAGCTGAAAAATTTGGAATCCATCTTAATGCTACATTTGAGCTCATGGGTAATGAAGCTGGTGGAAGGGAGTCACTTGGGTTCACAAAACTGGACCAAAAAATTTATTTGAGAATGAAAAGGGAAAAGAGTTTAGCATATGGGGAGGCAAGTAGCATTTTACAATATTTTTGTAAGAAAACATTTGAGAATCCATCTTTATTGTACTCAGTCCAATTAGATAGCGAGGAACAGATTACAAACATATTTTGGACCGATGCTCAGATGATCATGGATTGTGGGCAATTTGGTGATGCTGTGACTTTCGACACTACTTACAAGTTAAATAGTGCACCTAGACTATTTACATCTTACGTTGGATTTAACCATCATAGGGAAACTATTATATTTGGCGCAGCTTTGATATATGATGAAACTGCCGATTCTTTTATATGGTTTTTTAGAAAATTCTTGGAGACAATGTCAAGTAAGGCTCCGAAAACAATTTTTATGGATCAAGATGCTACAATGGCTAAGGCTATCCCTATTGTCATGCCTAACACAAAACAGCGCCTTTGTACTTGGCATTTGATGCAAAATGCATTACGGCATGCAAATTCTATCTTCAAGGATAAGGAGGTGAAGGATAAGGGGATGAAAAGTATTTTATCCAAATTTATGTATGACATTGAGGATGAGGATGAGGATGAGTTTACATTAAAATGGGAGGAAATGCTTGACAAGTATGAAGTGCGAGATAATCATTGGTTGAAGTTAACATTTGGGGTCAGGGAAAAATGGGGTTGGCTATATGTTAGAAATGCATGGGATGCGAGCATGAGTAGCACCCAACTTGGTGAATCCTTTAATGCATTATTGAAGGATTTCATTCAGTCAAATCATAACGTAATGCAATTTTTCATGCATTTTGATCAAGTTCTTTGTGAGAAGAGGTACAAAGAGTTACAAGTCGAATATGCTTTATGCCAAAAGTTGTTAAGAGTGAATATTAAAGTGAAGATTATGGAGTAAGCTGCAGATATTTACACAACTAAAATTTATAAAGAATTTCAGGATGAGTATGTCAAGTCCCTGAAGTAAACATTGAAGAAACTGAACATGATGGTGAGAGTACCGTTTATACGGTTCTTGATAGTGATGGTGTAAAGGTGAGGAAAGTGAGAGTAAAGTGTGATAGTTTACTCACTTGCAATTGTAAGAAGTTTGAAATGAAGGGCATTTTGTATAGTCATTGTTTGAAGATCCTCAGAGACACCCTCAAATTCAAAGAGATTCCTTCGCAATATATTCTCAAGAAATGGACTAAAAAAGCAAGAGCTGAAAATGTGAAAGATAGGTGTGGGCATGATATTAAGGTTAATGTAAGATTGCATCAAACTTCACGCTATAGATCATTGATGCAATTTTCAGAGCAGTAGCGTGTAGAGCTTCCAAAAGTGAGGAAACATATAACTTGATGGTAGAGAAAGTGGATGAGTTAATTGCAAACATTAAAAGCATGTTAAGCATAAAATTCAATATGCCTTTTTCAGATACCATTGAACAAGAAAGCCCTCTCGACACATGCCTCGAAAGCTTTGAAGTGGATGGTGCAGCGGATACAAATGTAGTTCAAGCAAAAAAACTCAAGAGAAGAGAGCGCACTAGCAAGGGACGAAGGCGGACAAAATGTGGTTTGGAGCTTGCGTTGGCAAAGAAAAATAAAACAAGTTCACATAATGCTTCTCAAACTCCCAAGTCTGTTGCTCCTCAACCTCTTCCCTTATTTTCGGCAAGTGCTCCTGAACCACCTCCCTTGTTTTTGCTGAGTATTCCTCAATTGGCTCCTTTATTTTCAATAAGTGCTCCTCAACTTCCTCCATTCTCGACAAGTGTTCCTCAAGTTAATGCTTCTTCGTCTCAATTGATGTATTCCGCCTATGATGTAAGTTAGTTTAATAAGAAGTTTTATTATGTTTATTTGTAAGTGACTATCACCATTTTAAATTGATATGTGTTTGTTATTGTTGCAGCCAAGTTTTCTTCGTCACAATATGCTTTTTTCAATGCCATCGATATATTCCGTCCACGGAAGCTATCAAGCATTGTTTAACAATGCAAGCAGTTATGACTTGCAAGTCTTGAATAGTCCTGCATGTAGTCAAGTAATTTATTTTTCACCTTTCCTCTTTTATTTTGTCATTCTTTCATTTAAAGTTTCATTTTATTTTATGGTTCCTTTGACATAAAAGTATTGTATTTTATTTTTTACGGACTACATGGGCATGGGCATGGGCATGGGCGTGGGCGTGGGCGTGGGCGTGGGCGTGGTCATAGGCATGGGCATGTGGATCACACGTCAATATCTTAGTGTTGATTTTTTTTTTGTTGGATATAGTGTTCGTGTATGTAATATTGAAAACTTTTCATATGGATGTAGAAAATATTGTTGTGTTCTTTGATCATTGGGGTATTTTGAGTTGTATTTCTCTTATTTTAAAATGACAATATAGCTGAAATGGTGCTAAATTTTTGGTGAAATGTTACTCAAACATGTTCCTGAAATGGTGCTGAATTTTGGCTGAAATAATGCAAATTTTGTTGCTGAAATTTGTGCTGATTTTTGATGGAATTTTGCAGTTTTTTTTTCTGAAATTTTGGTTGAATTGTTGCTAGAATTTTTGGTGAAATGTTGCTCAAATGTGTTGCTGAAATGGTGCTGAATTTTGGTTCAAATATTGCTGAAATAAAGCAAATTTTGTTACTGAAATTTGCACTGAATGTTGATGGAATTTTGTAGATTTTTTTTTCTGAAATTTTGGTTGAATTGTTGTTGAATTTTTTGGTGAAATGTTGCTCAAACATGTTGCTAAAATGGTGCTGAATTTTGGTTCAAATGTTGCTGAAATAAAGCAGATGTTGTTGCTGAAATTTGTGCTGAATGTTGATGGAATTTTGTAGATTTTTTTTCTAAAATTTTTGTTGAATTGTTGTTGGATTTTTTGGTGAAATGTTGCTCAAACATGTTGTTGAAATGTTGCTCAAACATGTTGCTGAAATGGCCTAAAACCAAATTTCAAGTGTTCTACAAAAGCCTCCCTTCACTAGAGATATATATAAGCCTAAGATGCATCGAAGAACCCAAACAAACAAACAAAGAAACCATTCTTTCAAAGCACCTTTTTATACATATCAATTGAGCACTTCAAAAGGTCTACTAATACAATCTAACCTGGATATCAAAATACTGGTTTCCACAATGAACCTTACAACATTGTGCATTTCAAGTAAACAAGCAACTTAATTTACACTTAATATTTAGTTCACAAAAGAAGAAGTCCAAATCCGAACTTAATTTACACTAAATATTTAAACAACAAAAGAAGAAGTCCAAATCCAATTAATACTAGTACAATGGCGTAGTGCAACTTTTCCTGAACTTGTCTAATCTCTATAACCATTTGTTTACTTTATTTCCTAAACTTTGTAACCATCTCTTTCAGCTCATCATTGGATACAATTAGTTCGTGGACCAAAGGGTTGATATTACAATTTTCGTCGCTTTCCTCACTTACCATCTTTAACCATTGACGCTGCTTATGTAAAGGCATCCACCACTCAAATAAGCCGCATCCATTAGTGTTGTTGAAAAGGCAAGCAAAGTATACCATCACTGGATTTTCTTTTGACTCTGAAATCCTGAATGCTGCTCTCGCCCCGCAACGACATTTTCGATTTCTAAACTGAATTTCATTAGTATCACTCATAGATGCATTTGATGTTGACATTTTTTTACCTGAAATAATAACGATGGAACAATAATAGAATAACAATGGAACAACAATATCTACATATGACTCTATAAACAAAATTAGAATTTGTTTTTGTCTGTAACAAAAAGACTTAACACACACACAAATATATGTTTAACTACAAGTGCACTGAAATTTATAAATTTCACAATTGGAGTATGTTAAAAAAAAAAAAATTTGAAACCCAACAGTTTCAGAAAATATCAAACAAGAATATTATACAAAACATAATTCTAATATACAAATAGTATAATAAAACATATAATAAATTTTCTATTTCCAACAAAACAATTACAAGCATTGAATTGAAAATTTATAAAACAAACAGATTTTTTTGGTTGAATAAAACAAACAGATTTAACAACAATAAATACAACAATGAGCAGGACTCAAATCGGCTTTCTAAGAATAAATTTTAATTAAATCATGTAAATAATTTTCCCTTACCAACCGATAAAGCAGCAACTCAGGAGAAATATTTTTCCAACAATGTTCTGTGAAATCACCAAGAGAGTACCAAAACCATATAGCAAACATATTATACCCATCTAGTGAACACATCAACTCCCAAGCCCAATTCTGCTGTAGGAAAATTTCAAATAGAAAAAGGTAGAAGAAAGAAGCAACCCATGTTGTAATCAATTAAGCCAGCAAAACAAATGCCGATATCTTGTGCTCAATAAGCAACCCAAGTTGCAATCAATTCACCAAAGCGAAGGCCTTTTCTAGCTTTTATTTTCCTATTCAACAATGTCCTATAAAACTCACCCAAATACCTTTTTCTATCTTCTTTTTTCCTATTCGACAATGTCCTATATTGACACCAAGCATATGGGGAAACAACATTGAATGAAACTCACATGATTGATTCTATGACCACAGAGAAATCAAAGTGAAATGGCAAAAACTAGCTCTGGAGCATTTGTTGCATCTTTCTATAGCCAATGGGCAAATCAAAATATATATTCAGTTGAACACATTTTTCTGGCTTCTTTTGCCTATTTAATAGTGCCCTATATGGACATTACACACCACATGACTAATTTCATATGACCATAGAGAAATCAAAGCAAGATGGCAAAACTGATTCTGAAGCATCTATGTAAAAAGTCCCAAATCAAAACCCTAAGAACATATTTTTTGGGACTTGAAATACCACCTTGGAAGTTCAGATTTTTACTCTACAAAGGTAGCCAAGTTCAGATTATGGCTCATTTTTACGTATCTAAACAATTAACCGCCTAAACAACAAATGCCTTCAAAGAAAATCATTCAATCTAATTTTTTTCCTAATTTTTGGAATCAAAGCCCTAATATTTTAAGTTTGGAGGATGAACGAACCTGTGGTTTTTTTTCTTCAATCTGTTAGAGTATAGCGGGTAGCGGCGCGGCAGCGGCGCGTTGGGGGTTGGTGGGAAGAGCTCCTCCTCTTAACCCTTTCTTTGTGTGTGTGTGTGTGTGTGTGTGTGTGTAATGCTTCATATCTGCAGAACATTGATGTTTTGAATTAAAGTTGATTTTTTTTTTTAATTACTCACCAAAATGATGTCGTTTTGGTGAGATTTATTTTCAGTTGTTGGATCTTTCACTTTAGGAGATTACTTCAAGGTTCCAATCTAGAGGATCTTGATACATGATTTTGATAATTTTGGCAGTATTATACATAGCCTTATGCGTCATTGCTGAAAAAATAAGCTAATAACTTTTTGTCATGACAATAACCTTTGTGTCATGAGAATTTTTTTTTTAAATTATTATTATAGTGTATCGCAATAAATGAAATACAATGAATCAGTAATATTTAAGAGGAATTACATACAGGTGGGAGAAAAAGAAAAGAAAATTACAAACACATGGGGTGTAAATGTGTCTGTGGTGGGGTGTAAATGAAAAGTTGGAGGGGTATAAGTGTCAGTTGCACCACTCCATGGATTGGTATTTTTTTTCCTTTCTCCAACCTACATGTAATTCTCTAATATTTACAGCATAAATTATCACAACCCAAAAATTTTAATTGTCCATTAAATTTTATATTAATATTATTTAATTATAAATGATTTCAAAAAAATAATTTTAACTTTATATTATTATTTGAAATTATTTTTTGAGTATTATGGTATTTTTATTATATTTTTCCTAAACTAAAATACACTGAAATATAATATTTTCTATACAACAAAATACTTGTGCCCCAAGCAATCTTGTTCCACACGCCATCTT